AGGCCGCTGTTGTTATTGCTCCCCGTGTGCTGAGTGGGGGGGGGGGGCGAAGCACATCGTGTGACTGGCAGCTGCCCGGGCGACCTGTCCATCCGAGATCGCGCCACAACGGTCGGGCCCATTTCCGCGCCGCTGTCGAGGGGCAGGCTGTTTTTGTGGGGACCCCCCGCCGGGGCAGCAGCGCCCCCGCAAGCCGGCGGCATGCCTTATCTCTCTGCCCGGATCCCCCCCCCCCCCCCGCCCCTCCCCCGTGTCCACCGTATCCTCTCCTCTCCGGCCCTCTGGTCCCACGCTCGACCCTCTGTCTCCTCCCACCATGGCGTCGACCACGCTGCGCCTGCCCGGCCTTGGGTGGGCTCTCCTGTCGCTGCTGCTCGCGGCCCTCTTCAGCTCCTGCTGCCTGGCATCCGCCTCGCCGGTGATGAACGGCCCACCGACCACCTGGCTGTCGGCCCCGGTGCCCGCCGAGGACACGGCCCAGCTGCGCGTGTTTTTGCCGAGCCCCGAGGCGCGCGACCAGTTCCTCTGGCGCCTGGCTGGCGCCGGGGTCTCGGCCGATCTGACCACCCTGGGGTTCTGCTCGTCCCGCTGCGTGGACCTCCTTGTGCCGGAAGTCGACCGCCAGGCTGTTGAGGCTGCCCTGCCGGCGGATGCGGTCCTGCGTACGGCCGAGCGCAACCTCGGGGGCCGTCTGCGCGCGGAGCGCGACCGCCTGGCCGGCGATGCCCACCGGACTGACTTCTCCGGTGTCACTCGGGCCAGTGACTTTTTCGAGGACTTCCGCACTTACGCCCAGATTGAGGCATTCATGGACTCGCTGCTGGCCGCCTACCCGGAGGCCCTGTCGGGCTTCGTGTCCGGGCGCACTTTCGAGGGTGCGCGCTCGGCTGCCGCTGCCGCTGCTGCTGCTGCCGCCATCACCACCTCCTCCCGCCCCCTTACGCTCCTTCGTCGGGCTTGGCTCGCGCACTTCCACACGTCCATCTTTCGCTGACTCCTCTTGCTCCCTTCCCTCTTCTCTCCCTCTGCTTGGGCTGCTTTCCCAGGCCGGCCAATCCGCTCGATGGTCCTCTCAGTCGGCGGCAACAGCACTGTCGTCGACGCCGGGCGCCGGTCCATCCACCTGCAGGCTGGTCAGCATGCTCGGGAGTGGCTTTCTCCCCCGACCCTGCTGTACATCCTGTCCGGCTTCCTCGAGGAGACCAGTGGCTCGGCCAACCTTCCCCTCCGCGATGTATGTGCACTTTGTGTGCTTTTCCCCTTCTCTCCCCGGCCCAGCTCTCTTGGGCCTCCCCCATGGCGTGATCTCTGACCCCCTGTGCTTCCGCCGCCCTCCCCCCCCCCTCCTCCCTTTTGTGCCCGGTCCCTGCCGTAGCTTCTTTCCCAGTTCGACATCTACATCACCCCGGTGGTCAACGTCGATGGGTACCTGCACACCTGGAAGGGCGATCGCCTGTGGCGCAAGAACCGCCGTGTCAACAGCGGCTCCAACTTCCTTGGCGTTGATCTCAACCGGAACTGGGGGCCGAATTCCACCTGGTGCACTGAGGGGTCCAGCACCTTCCCCGGCTCGGATGTCTATTGCGGCACCGAGGCCTTCAGTGAGCCGGAGACTCAGGCCATGAGCCAGCTTTTGGACTCCCTGCCGAATGTCGCCGTGCGCCTGCTCCCCCCTATATCTGCCTTCTCGCCCCCCCCCCCCCCCCCCTCGCCTTTGTGTGCTCTTACACTGCCCGATGCACTCGATACTGACGTCGACATTCCCCCTCCCCCTCCACCGCTGCTGCTGTTGCTGCTGCCGCTGCCGCCGCCGCCGCCGCTGCTCTCCCACACAGCTGGCCATTGACTACCACACCTACGGTCCCATGATCCTGTACCCGCTGCAGCACACCTACGACCCGGCTGAGGGTGATGATGCTGCGCACTTCGACCATCTTGCCACGGTCATGGCCGACGCCATCCGTGCCGTTCACGGCCAGGAGTATGAGCCCATGCCCGGGTCCCAGCTGTATCCCCACTCGGGCGGCCTCATCGACTATGCTTACTACACTCGTCGAATTCCGGCTTTCACCGTGGAGCTCCGGTGCGCACTGCCATCATCCTCCGCCAGTGGGCTTTGCTTTGCCCCATGCGCTAGATCGCCCCCGCCCCACCTCTCTAACTCCTGTTGTTCTTGCCATTGCGCCAGTGGTGACGGCTTCATCGTCCCCCCCTCCAACATTCTGGAGTCCGGCGAGGAGAACTATCGCGGCCTGATCGACATCCTGCCCCTCTTGTAGGAGAGCACCGCGCTTCCCCTGTGGATGCCTGCTTCCCTGACATTTCTGTCGATGCCGCAGTTATAATGCACATATGCAGGGAAAGAAAGAGAAAGAGGGGGAGGGGGGAAGGGACGGGGAGAGTAAATCTATGGGTGTGTATTGAAGGGGGGTATTTGGGGGGGGGGAGAGAGAGAGAGAGAGAGAGATAGAGAGGGAGGGAAGGAAAGATGGGGGAAATGCCTGGGGAGGAAGGTGACAACCGTCGAACCAACCGGACCGCCACGCAGGAGTGGATCCTCCCCCATTCGCCGGAGCCCGGGAGGAGTGACAAACGCCCGCTGTGTCGGCCCTCATCGCCCGGCCCCCAAACGCGTCGGGGGAAGACAGCCATGCCGCGCTGCCCATGGGGGGAGGGAGAGACACACGAATGTCACTTCTTCCCATGGAAGCGCGGCTGGTCGAAGAGAAGCTTCCGGCGCGGGAGGCCAAACTGACCAGGGCCGGCCACGGTCGGGGGCGCATCAGCCGGGGCGGCGGCGGCCGCCGGATCAGCCGGCTCGAATTCCACGATCTCCACCGGGCCCTGGGGGTCCTGCATGCTGTGGAGGTGAGCATCGGCCGCTGCCGGGCCCCGCGACGCCTCCATGTGCTGCAGGACCTTGAAGAGCCCAGTACCAATGGGCATGGGAATACCCATGATAATGCACTCGGACACACCCTCAATGGCATCACGCTTGGCGAAGTAGGAAGCATCGAACAGATGGTCGGTGGTCCGCTCGAAGGAGGCCAACATCAGGACACTGTCCTTCATCTTGGCAATGCCGAAGCGCGTGATGCCCAGCACCTCGCCCTTGCAGGTCATCAGGTCGGCCAGCAACATGACATGGCGCATGTCAATGCTCATGCCGTGGCTGCTCATGGTATACTGAATCTCATTGATGATGGTGGTCCGGGCCGCCTCAATGCCCAGGACCTGGGCCACCTCCATGATGTGGTTGGAAGTGGTCTGGGTGCCATCCACACCCTCGGTGGCCATCACATGGCGCAGGCCGTAGCCCTCCACCAGGAGGTTGTAGCTGGTGTCGGCCCCGCCGCCCAGGGTGTTGACCACGGCACGGTTGACCGTCGGCACGCCCTTGACAATGACATTCGGCAGCATGGCCTTCAGATGCTGCAGCATGAAGTACATGGTGAACTTCGGGTCCTCCGGCGGGTACACGCGGATGCGGTTGCTGGCCGACACCCGGACATGGCGGTCCTTGAGCTTGAGCTTCGGCGCGGCGATGATGGCTGCCCGGATTTGCTCCATGTCCACCTCCAGCTGCAGGGCCTGGATGGCATCCAGGTCAAACTTGATGGACAGGTAGCACTCCTGCGCGCTGAAGGTTTCCTGGATGTACTCGGCGATGTTGCTGAGCAGGGTCTTCTCGATGCGGCCCTTGACAATGCGTGCCGATTGGACGCTGCGATTGGCAATCAGGGTCGTGGTGATGATCGGCGTGGAGATCAGCTTGCTGGCATTGATGATTTCCTTGATGCGCGGCACACCGAGGGTCACGTTCATGGAGGCCACACCGGCAAAGTGGAAAGTCTTCAGGGTCATCTGCGTGCCGGGCTCACCGATGGACTGGGCGCCCAGGGCACCGACCGCGGTGCCCGGCTCGATGATGGCCTTCAGATACTTGTGCAGGATGGTCTCAAAGAAGAGGTCCATCTGGGCCGGGGTCACGCGCAGCAGCAAATCCACGAAGCTGCGCGCGGTCAGGCCCATTTCCGCCTGGTGGATCGCCTCCACTCGAGCCGCCGTGTAGGGAACCCCCTGGGCGTCCAGCAGCTCCGGCAGCGGGAAGGCCCGGGCATCCGACGACACCGGCCCGAAGGTGGCCCGCTTGACCGAGGGAGGAATGGCCTCGGCCGGGGGCGGCTCCGCCACCGGCCCCGGGGTGACGGTGTGCGCATCGAGGCCGGCCCGCTGACGCAGCCCAGCCAGCTCGGCCGCCAGCTGGTAGACAAACTCCCGGAGTTCCCCGATGAAGAGCGACGTGCATCGGTGCGCCACGGCCGGGATGCTTACCTGCCGGTCGACCAGCTGCATCAGCTGCACCGGCAGCAGGCCGCGGTGCTCCGGCGCCAGGGGGTTCTCCGCCTCCGAGGGGAGCCGGTGCCACTGGCAGTGCGTGAACACTCGGGACAGGCTGACCGGCCGGTCGTCGGCCTCCATGGCCGCCGGGTCCAGACCATCGGCACCATACTTGAACTGCACCACCTGGCCGCTGGAGTTGCGCACCGAGTAGTCATACTGCACGGACAGGTCCTCCAGCGCCTTCATCAGGCGCCGCTGCATGTAACCGGTCTCGGCGGTCTTGACGGCGGTATCGACCAGACCCTCACGACCACCCATGGTGTGGAAGAAGAACTCCGTCGGTGTCAGGCCACTGTAGAAACTGTTCTTGACGAACCCCTTGGCCGCCGGGGTCTTGGCTGTGGAGAAGGCACCCAAGCCGAAGGGAAGGAGGGAGAGGCAGAGGGAGACGGGAGACGGGGAGGAGCCGACCGATGGAGGACGGGGAAGAGGGGGGTTAGAAAGAAAAAAAAAAAGACCAGCAGTACGGAACAGAGCGAGTGCAGGCCCCCGCCCTCCAACCCTGACGATCTAGAGCACGATCAGCACGCACAGTTGACCTCGAAGTGCGGCAGGGTGCGATTGACAAAGCCGTCGGCGATGCGCGCGCCGGATACGACCTGCTGCCCGACACAGGCAATCATCTGCGAAATGTTGATCTTGGAACCCTTGGACCCGGAGATGGCCATGACCATGGGGCTGTTGTAGCGGTCCAGCTCATTGAGACAGATCTGGCCGGCGTCATCACGGATCTTCGACAGCTCGCCAGTCATCTTGGCCTCGAGGGTTTGCTCGGCCGTGCAACCGGGGGCCAGCTGCAGGGTGTTGTTCTGGAACTCCTTGATATACTCGGCGCACTTGCCGTAGCCAGCCATGACCAGCTGGTCCTTCATCTGGACCAGTCGCGCGCCAGGGCGCACATCATCAATGCCGATGGAGAACCCATGGTTGCCGAGCCAGCGCGCACACATCTTGGCCACACGCGACATGGCCGCAATGGCCTCATCCACGCCGTAGTCCCGCATGATGATGTAGAAAATGGTGTTCTTCGAGCCGGAGCCGACGAGAGACTTGTCCAGGGTACCGCACATGACGGTGCTGTCACGGATGACAACATCTTCATGCAGGATGGGGGGGGGGCGAGCGAGAGGGAGAGAGAGAGAGGGCGAAGGGAAGAAGAGGAGGAAGGCGATGGTGTGAGTGTGGTAACGGGGAGGGGAGGCCAGTGGCGGACGGGTGGATGGCCAACGAGACGGCAGGGCCAGAGAGCGGGAAAGCACGTACAGCCGTCGCTCGGGCACATGTCCTCGCCCTTGGAGTAAGAGCGGTTCTTTGTCTCGAGGTTGATGCGAACCTGCGAGCGGGTGTTCGGCCGGATGATGATGTTGAAGAGCTGCTTGCCGGTCCAGAACTCGACAGGCTGGGTATGGAGGCGAAGAGAAGGCCGAAATGACCGAGAAAGGAGCGGGGAAAGGAAGATGGCATTAGTGAAATTGTCCGGCGGCGGGCGGGCCTGCAGAGAATAGCCCCATCACACACACACACACACACACACACGCACCTTGACAATGGCCGGCGGCGGCAGGTCCACATGCATACGCGCATCCGACATGTACGAGCAAATCAGCGACATCTGTGCCCGGTCATAGAAGATGTCCTTCCGAGTGAGCAGATAACAAGCGGTGATGAAATCCTGCGTGGCGGCGATCACGGGCTCGCCGTTACGCGGAGTGATCAGATTATCCTTCACGCCCATCAGAACCAACGCCTCGGCACGGGCCTCCTCCGTTTGCGGGACGTGAAGATTCATCTCATCGCCATCGAAGTCGGCGTTGTACGGCGTGCAGGCGCATTCATTCAGCCGGAAGGTGCGCCACGGCCGAACCTTCACATAGTGGCACATGATGGACAGCTTGTGGAGCGAAGGCTGGCGGTTGAAGAGAACCACATCGCCATCATCAATGTGGCGCTCGACAATGTCGCCGATGTTCAGCTGGGCGGCGGTGCGCTCGCGGTCGCGCACATACTTGAGGTGGCTGCATCGGAAGGTGGAGGGGGGAGGGGGGAGGGGGGGAGCCGGCCGGGGCGCCCATGGGAGTCAGAGGAGGGGGAGGGGGGGAAGGGCGGAAATTTCCGCTCCTACAGGAGAGCCAGCATGTGACAAGGAAGAAGCCTGGACGTACAGCTTTCGCCCATCCGGCGTGGCCAGGTAATTGGCGCCGGGGTGGACATCCGGGCCGTTGATGATCAGCTGGCGCATCTTCTTGATGTTGTGCCGGGTCACACGCTCGGGATAGGTGAGGACCTTGGCCACGAGCTCCGGCACGGCCACCTCATTGATGGCCAGATCCGGGTCCGGGGAAATGACCGTACGACCGGAGAAGTCGACACGCTTGCCGGACAGATTGCCACGGAAGCGACCGGTCTTGCCCTTGAGCCGCTGGCAGAAGCCGCGGGTGGGCTTGGTTTGCATCTGTGTGGGGGGCGGTTTGTGGCGGGAGGCGTTTTGGTGGCCGACAAGCCGGGGGGGGGGGGGGGGTACAAGACGGCCAGTATGGTCACAGGGGGGATGGCAAGCCGGATAAAGTGCACACGAGGTGGCACCGTCAGTATGAGCCGGAACAAGAGAGAGGGAGAGAGAAACGAAGAACCAGAAACCGGAGAGGCGACAGATGCGAGGCGGGAAGGGGATGCCGGCTGGCGATAGGGTTGCCGAGAGAAGAGAGAGGAGGGAGGAGGGGGACACGATCGTACCTGCTGCGGGAGCTGCACGCCGGGCAGCTCACTGTTGATGTACATGGCACAGTAGATCTGCAGCATGTCCCAGTTTTCGATGAGCACCTGCGGCTGAGCACCCTTCTCGATGGACTGGCGGATGACATTGTTGACATGGATGATCTCCATCAGCTTGATGGTCAGGTCATCCTCATTGGAGCCAGCCGCCGCGTCCATGGCCACAGACGGACGGATGCACACCGGCGGAACGGGGATGTGCGTCCAAATGAGCTGCTCGGGGCGACCCTCCACCGGACACATGCCCAGCAACTCCACATCGGCATCGGAGATGTTTTGGAAGATGGACAGCACACGCATCGGGTTGAGGTCCTCATTGGCCCGGGACAAATGGGTCTTGACATCGGGGTTGGCCTCGATGGCCGCCTCAAACTGCTTCTCGCGATCGACCTTGAGCTGCTGGTCACGCTCGGAGGGGCGCCCACGAGCGCTGGACCGACAGACCCCGGCATTTCACACGGTCAGGGGCAGAACATGAGAGAGGACAAGGGCAAGAAAGCAAGCGGTCGAAGGGGAGAGAGAGAGAGAGAGAGGGACGGGGGAGGAGCGCCCGGTCACTGCGCACCGCTCATGATACAGCTTCAGCGCGCCGGTCTTCTTGATGGTCCCGTTGGCCGAGCCACAATGCGGGCAATGAGCGGCCTTCTTGCACTTTTCATGGATGCGCTTGACCAGGCCTCGGCGCTGGAGGCCGTCCAGCCGGGGATTGCGGATGCGGAAAAGGTAGTTCTGCGCCTCGGCCTCATCAACCAGAATACGACTGCATGTCTTGCACACGCTTTGCAGGATGGTGATGATCCCCTTGAAAAAGCCGATGTGGAAGACCGGCAGCTCCAGGCGGATATGGGCAAAGTGACCGGAGCACTCGGCCAACTTGTGCCCACACGTCTCGCAGGTGGACATCTTGTCCGAGGTACCAAGGCGCCGGTCGAGGCAGCCATTGGGCGTGGGGTTCCGGTCGGGGATGGTATAGAGTTCGCGATTGACCACCTCAAACTCGGCCACCTGGTAGATGTCCTGAGGGGACATGATGCCAAAGTGGAGGGCCTTGCTGCTCGAGAGCGAGCGCACAGACAAGGCAGGGAGGTGTCCCGGGGGGAGGGGGGGGGGGGAAAGAGAGAGGGGAGGGAGATGAGGGAAGGGACGAGGGGGGTGCCGATAAGTGTCAGGGAATGCATGTGCCAGAAGCGGGGACAGGGGGCGGGGGGGCGAGAACAAAAGGGGCGGCGCAGGCCACAGAGGGGAGACGAACATCTTCTTCGGCGCCTCACTCGGGCGGATGAGCTCCTTCGTGGCCATGGCTACAGCGGGGACTTTCTCTGGCTCTCAGTGAGCTGAGAGGCGCGTCAGGGGGTCGTGCCTCACACTGATGGCAGAGGCACAATGTGCGAAAAGAAGGAGGGTCAATGCCTGAGTGAAAAGGCAGGGAGGGGGGGCAGCCTGGCGCGCGGGAGCCGTCCACACAAGGGGGGACGGGGGGCAGATAAGCAACAGCAACGCACAGCGCCGATTGGCGGGGAGGGGGGAGAAGGACACGATGCGAGAACGGGGCCGCGGGGAGGGAAGGGAGGGGCGATCGGCGTCGGCCGGTGAGACTTAGGGGGGGGAGGGGGGCGGGAGAGACCTACCCTCCGGAGGAGTGCTGTCCGGTGAGCCAGCGAGATGGGGAGAAGGAGAAAGACGGGGGAGGGAGAGAGGAGGCGCAAAAGAGGGCCCCGGGGGGATGGTAGGGGAGGTAGGAAGGGAACGAAGCGTGCTAAAGCCCGGCCGAGGAGACGAGGCGGAGATGCTCGGCCAAAAAGGTCCCGGGTGCAGGGGGGGGGGGGGGGGGCTGCTGACTGGCCCCCGGCGCCGGAACGCCTCGTGGTCGAAAAAGACCACAACACACGGCCCGGCCCAGGGTCCCCCGGAGGAGAAGAGAAGGAGAGTCCGTCGCCCGGTCGCCCTCACGGCGGGAGCGCTGCTCCCAAGAGGGCTGGCGCAGCATCAGGCCCGGCCCCCCGAACATGCTTACACCACCCACCCTCCCGTGCACCGGCCCGAGTGTGGGACAGAGCCCGGGCAAGTGCGCGTGGCAGGTATTAAGAAAAATCCCCCAGCATGGGACGGCGGTCTGGGCGATCCCCCCCCGTCCCCCGCCCCCCGCCCCCCGCCCCCTGGAACGGGTGGCCCAGGTCCATGTGCCACCCCCATCCGCCTTTTGCCCACCCACCGTCGCCCCGACGCTCGGCGCCCGAGGCGGTCCCATCCACGCTCTCTCTTTCCCGCACCACCCCACGCAAGGGTCCATTCGCGTCCGATAGACCCGAGAGGCGCCCGGGGCCGCAACACCCCATGCCGGGGCGGCGGCGGGAAAAGGAGCCCCGAAAAAAAAAAAAAAAAAAAGACGCCAGACAAGAGCGGCGAGGGCGTCGTGCTTGGAATTCGGATCCATAGAGTTAAGTATTGGCTCCCGCCCCGGTCCTTGTGATCAGTCGGTATCAGAACCGGAGGAGAGATCGAAGTGCCCGAACAGAGGGGCCCCCGGCGCCTCGGCCGCCGCCGGGCCCGGCGAAACCAATGCCGCCTCGGAACCCCGGGTCCATGTGGGCTGGGCGGCCTGACCGCGCCGGTTGGCTCGCTTGCGATCTGGCGGTGACCCGGGGCCCGGGGAGGGAGATCGCCGCCGGACATGCCCGGACGCCGGGACCCGGCATGTCGAGCACACCACCGCCGTCTCGCCATCGATCGAAGTCTCCTCACGCCAGTCGTGGCGATGCTCCAGGGGATCGCTCAGCAGATCGGCCGGAGGCGCCGACTCGGTGCCCGAAAGATCCACTTGGCACACGGGCAAGGGAGAGTCAGCACATGCATGGCGGCACAGCAAGCGGCTGCAGCCGCGGCGCGGAGTGGACCACACTGGCGCACCATCCTGTGTGAAGTGCAGGCGCTGGGGCAGCCGGCCGCGCGATTGTCGGAGGAGAGTGCGCCGCCGCTCGCGCTCCTCAAATGCCTGCATCAGACTCTCCTCGGTGCCGCCGTGCTTCCGGAGGGCCTGAATGTGCAGGTGCTTGGCCAGAAACAGCTGCACCGGGGCCCAGCTGGGGTGCCGGCTGTTGGCGCGCATCATGAACGGAAGCTCCGAGAGGTCCTCGTCGGCGAGGAGATATTCCTGCTCGGCGCACAGGTGGGTGAATATTCCACGTGTCACACACGAGCGTGCCTCGCTGTGCAGAGGCCGAGGGAGGTGCAGGGCGAGGGAGAGGGAGAGGGAGAGAGAGAGAGAGAGGGTGGGGGGGGGGGGGGAAATAGGTCTCCAGACCGAGTGCATACCTCTTTGGCGGCGGTCTTCGAATGCAAGGAGTACAGCTCGGGCCGGGCACGAACACAGCCAGTGCAGACGATCAGCTCGAACCACCGGCTGAGGATGTCGCTCACCCGGGGACTGGAACAGTGAGCACAACGGGCGCCCACGCGTCGGACTTGCGGGGTCTTTTCTCGGACCGGCACCACATTCCCGTCGATGTCCACCGACAAGCCGAGAGCGCTCTCGACCTGGTCCATGACGTCAAAATCGTCGGGCACCTCCTCCGGGGGGCTGGCGCGGGATCAGGCCCGGCAGGTGAGGAGACGGCATCCGGCGCGGCAGGGAGGCGGCGACAACGTACCTCGGTTCGTTTTCCGGTTCGGCGGCCATGCTG